TGAAATCACAAATATTCTTTAGATATTTTTCGCTTGGAAGGCATGAGGGTTAATGAAAAATTAGTTTCAAGTATAAAATAATCCCTATTCTACTGTTATTTGTTAACACAAACCGTTACAATTTCAGAAGAAAAAAAGTTATCCCGTAATTCCTACCAGGACCGCATTGATAGCAAAATCGTTATCGGGGATTGCTTGATTGATAGAATTTCTCGCTAAATTTTTAATACATTGTTCTTAAATAATTGAATTTGTTAGTGAAGCGGAGCATGACCGGGTCACTCAGAAAGGTCCAGCGGGCCGCAGTTTGAGTATCGCTAGTTTAAGTAGTCAAAATTACATATCAAATTTATTAATGCATTCTAATTAAAACATCTTGCATCTTTTTATGTACATATGTTAAGATTTCATGAATGGCTTTTAATAAATAGTGGCGTGTATATATTAATTTGTAATCAATAACGTGTATTTATTTTACAAAATGCGTTAATAATATAATTTTTTATGAAAATGGTTTAAACAGTAATAATTAATGGATGGATATATGTTGTTGAAAAATTGTTTTTGTTAAGGAGAGAAAAGGAACTACATAAATATACACATACTCACAAACAACTTATCAATTGTATAAATGTAATATAGATTGCAAATAAAAAATTTTTCTTGTAGATATTTCAAGCCGAACAATTTTTCAAACTTAAAACAAAATTTTGAATTTTTTTTGTATTATTTTAAAAATAAAGTTTCAATATCGGCTTTTGAATGAGAAACTATATGATTAATATTTTCAAACGTTTGTATTCTTTTTTTACAGAAACTTTGAAGTATAATCAATCTTTTAGATTCTGACTATTAATAAAAATAATAATAAAGGCTTAAAATGGAGAAATATTATTAAATAATTAGACTTAAAGAAGGGAAAAAACATCATTTTGAAAGTTCTTATCCTCTTTATGGAACATTTTTGGTAATCAATTCTTTAGATTCTGATTATCAATCAAAATGGTAATTAGTGTTTAAAATGGAGAGACACTTCGAGTAATTACACTTGAAAGAAGCAAACAGAATTCCATTCTTAGAATTTATAAATAATCAAATACCTTAGTGTTCAAAAGGAAAATTAATAATCATTTAATTGTTAACTGTTTTTAAAATTAGAAACTTATGATTTTGTTATGGATATAGAACAAAGCTTTTATTTTAATTTAATTAAAAAAGGGAAAAGTCTCTCAACTTCATAAAGAAACTTTATTCTCTCTCTTTTAAAATGCTTTTAGCTTAAAATGTCTAATAAGCTAATAAAAATGTCCGTTCTGCGGACTTAGATGCAGCGTGCCGTCTTCGTGAGTCTAGGGTACCCGGCTGGGGCCGCGGTACCCTAGTGGTCAAGGTATTGGATCATGGCTGGTTTGTCACGAGTTCGAGCCCAGTACTACTAAAGACCCACCATGTAGGGGGAGCGATGCACGTTAAATCTGACACAATCATACTCCCATTGGTGTGGTGTGGTAGTTAGGAGAGGGGGTGGCCAGCTCAGGTGTCGGCCTCATCACTTGAGCATGGTTCAAAGTTACGAGGTCCGTTTTCAAAAGCCCTCCTGTAGCTGAACAGTGTGACGATAATATTCACTCACTCAACCCCGGCTGGAGTCAATAGATTTTCTGTGTGCGAAAATTGTAGACACGCATGTTATATGATAATGTAAAAGCTAATGTGTGCTCTGATACTCTCAGCAAAATTATATCATAGCAATATTTAGCATCGGACGAGAATTTGAATCGAATAGAATTCAAATGTTATAATTCAGTAACGGAAGCTACCACTAGAGCAGGGATGGCGAACCAGTGGCACGCGTGCCACCAATGGCATGTGACATAATATTTTGGGCAAGCCAGCAATCAAAATGGTTTGTTTTGCATTTCAAAAAAAAACTAAGCTCATTATGAAGTATTACGAACAAACGCGAGTGATCGGTCGCGGGGCGGCTGAAAGCACACTCTGCTTTTGTTTTGCCTTAGTTACGTCGTGAACTACAGTTGCTTGTGATTCAAAATTTATATACGCAAGCATAGTCAATTTCGTTGACACAACTGCATTTTAAAGCTTATTTGTGTTATATTTACGATTTTTAACTGTTATTTAACATGGCTAGTTCAGAAAAAGAACAAAAAGTGCACGATAGTATGTGTAACAAAAGAATTCAAACTTGGTGAATCTATAGAAATATAGCACTATTAGTAAATTCGTCAAACCGGTGTGTGCTTTATGTCCCGGAACAGAAATATGCAGAACATCGTCTATAAAACGGCATTTTGAAACAAATCACAAATAATATTGTCAAAAATGTGAACCACAGCAAAAATAATTAATTTCTGAGAAACCTTTTGGTAGATGACTAATTCAGTGTGCATTCTACTAAAAGTAACATCTTACAATCATAATATAAGTCACTTGTCCATCCAATCTGCAACAACAGAAATCACACTAATGTTACTTTAATTTGAATTACACGTGTAACTAAAACATTTACAACTATACAGTATAAAAGGTATTTTTCGTGGTAAGTGAAAAGTTTAGAGTTGTTAGTATTTAGTTTTATTATTTTCCCTGTAATCACAATTCAAAATTATTTGTTGTCACGTCCATACCTCATTAAACCAGTGCTTTTCAAACTCTCAATATTAGCGACCCAATATTCAGTCTTAATTTTCATCGCGCCCCCCTTCCATACAATAACAATGTATTGAATT